GGGAGGGGGAGGAGTAGAGAAGAGCAGACAGGAGATCGACAAGGATGAGCAGTAAAAGACAAGGAGGTCAAGCATTGTGACAAGGAAGAGAGGACGAGTTCGAAAAAGAAAAAAGAAAAAAAAGAAACGGAACGACAAAAAGTTCTCAATCTTAAAAAAGAATACGAGGAGCAAAGGAGAGCATCGCGAGAATAGAGGCCATTACATTCAGAACGTTCTCAATCTTATTAAAAAAAATCCACAAAAAAAATGCAAAAATATTGAGGAAAGACGCGCAAGGAAGAGAGTACACAGGGTGGAAGAAGGAAACAAAGAGCGAAAGAGAGTACACAGGGTGCAGGGTGGAGGAAACTCGGGCATAATAAGATAGGCACAAGAAGGCGGGGGAATGGCAGGCAGACATAAATACACGGGAAAGAAGGAGACATAAAAACGCGGGAAAATATAAGACATAAGGAGGCGGGAGAGCAGTAAACATAAGAAGGCAGGAGAGAGAAAGCTGCTGACAGACGAGCACGCCGTGGAGAGGCAGACAGGGAGAAAAGCGGGAAAGAGAGAGGGCGGGAAAAGGAAACGTCAGAAAATTTTGGGATAGAAAATGGCGGGAAAGAAAAATGGGGAGAGAAGGCAAGGGTAGCAGCCTAATTTCAGAAGAAGGAAAACGGGAAAGAGGAAACGGGTGGGAGACAGATAAAGGCGGGAGAGGGAAAAAACGTCGGAGTAAGAAAAGGCGGGAATCAAAGAAAATAGAGAGAAATACAAGGCGTCAGGTAAGAGAAGACCGGGAAATTACTCAGTAGGAGGGAGACAGCAACCAAAAAAAAAACGGCGGGAGAGGACAACGGAAGGACGGGGGAGAGAGGAACGCGGGGGAGACCAAAACACGCGGGAGATAGAAAAGGAGGGAAACATAGAAAATCGAGACGGAAAGAACTGCGGGAGGTACAACCGAACCCCCCCCCCAAAAAAAAAAAAAACAGGGCAAGAGAGAGAAAGCATCCAAAGAAATAGAGGGAAAACAGCAAAACTAAAAGGGAGACATCAGGAATAAAAACACAGTAGATACGTGAAAGGAGTATGAGAAGAGGAGAGAGAAAGTAGGAGAGAGAAGGGAAGAGAGAGAAAGTAGGAGAGAGGAGGGAGTAGAGAGAAAGTAGGAGATAGAACGGAGGAGAGAGAGAGAGTAGGAGAGAATAGAGGCAATTGGAGGAATAGGAGGATGAGAAGAGGAGAGCGAGAAGGGAGAAGAGAGAAATAGAGAGAAGGGAGGGCAGAGGGGAGGAGAGAAAGAAAGAAGGAGAGAAGAGAACGATAAGAGGACTGACTAAAGGGTTACCGAGGGAGGAACGAAAGGCACCGATGCCAGAATAGCCGATGAGTAAAAGCACATTAGAGGAATAGAAGCGATACAGGAGAAAGAGGCATTATGATAGTCCACGGAGCGCAAGAGTAGAGGAGAGGGGGGGGGGGGAAGGGGGGAAGGGGGAAAGGAAGAGACGTAATATATCATCATTACAACAGACATGAAAACAACAGCATAATCACAATTACTAAATTATTATGAGCATTCATATTAAAAACGATTATATTCGATAAAAATCATGATTAAAAAAAAAAAAAGAGAGAGGATAAAAATCATGATAGTAAATAGGTGTAACAACAATCTCCCAATTTTGTTTTCACAGTAAATACAAAGCACATGGAACATCGAGCAATCAACTCCGCACGGGGGTAGGAAGAAAAATCAACTCCTCACGGGGGTAGGAAGAAAAATCAACTCCGCACGAGGGTCATGGCGGAGAGAGGGTCAGGGGCACAGAGGAGAAACAGTGACGCGCAGACGGAGAAACACAAAGAAAAAAACTGAAAATGAGAAAAGACAGGTGAAACGAACAACAGAGAGATAGAGAGAGGTAAAACGAGAAACAGAGAGAAGTAAAACGAGAGAGAGGGAGGGAGAAAGAGAGAGAGAGGGAGAGAGAGGGGGAGAGAGAGAGAGAGAAATAAAAAGAGAGAGAGACGAAGGTAAAATGAGAACGAGAGAGAGGGGCCGCGAGGGGGGGGGGGGGGGGGGGGGGGGGGGGGGGGGGGGGGGAGGGGGAAGAGCGGCAAAGAAAGAGAGACACAAGGGTAAGAGGGCAAAGGAGAGAACGGGCGAGAGAGGTGGAGAAAGGGAGACACGAGGAGGACGGCGAGATACTAAATGAAACTCGCGAGAGCTATAAGATGGGGAGAAAGAGCGAGGAAGCAAAAACGAGCACGAGAACATGCAGGAGAAAGAGAGACAAGGAGAGAGGGAGAGCGAAAAATAGAGAGAAGGAGAGAGAAGAAAAAAAGTACCTTTAAATTCTGGAGAATACTCTCCTTGTTCAAGTTCGGAGCGGACAACCTTTTTGCGATTTCTGGCAAACCCCCAGGACAGCTATCTGCCCTCCGAGCCATCATCCCCTCCATCTCTCTCTCTCTCTCTTTCTCTCTCTCTCTCTCTCTCTCTCTCTCTCTCTCTCTCTCTCTCTCTCTCTCTCTCTCTCTCTCTCCCTCGCGCGATCGTCTACTGCACAGCGACTGATGATTCTGAACCTTTCGAGACGTTTCCTTGCTACCTAAAGGAAGGAGGTCGATCTCCGTCCGCAACCCCACCTCCCTCTACCAACCTACGCTGTGTCGCGATAAATGCTAAGTCCCCAGCACACCCTAGCTGTGCTATGTCCGGCGATGTGCACCCCCGCGGACAGTTACCGATCACACACATGTCGCGCAACCGTCGCCTGCCCCGTCGCTCACGTGAATATTGCTATCGGCTCAATCACCCACCCAACGGTCGACCGACCCCTCCCATACCTCCAGTCTTTGGCCCTGTCCTCTTCGGTAGGGAATAGGTTTCCTCCCGGTGTCATAGCGAGCACCAACCCACTGCTCTTGTGAACTCTACCACGATATGAATATGAAGTATTATATAGCGTGTCCACACACGTGGGCAATCTCCCAGCCGTTGATTACGGTTATCGATGTTGGCGCCGTCGAGGACAAATTCTCGCCATGCAGGTTTCGCCGAGCGTAGGTAAGAGAGAAAATGGGGAGGGCGGAAGAAAGGGAGGGATGGAAGGCGGAAGGGATGGAAGGAGGGAGGGAGGGAGAGAGGGGAGAGCCCGGAGAGAAGGAGAAGACAGCACGATGGTGAACAACCACAACCCTATCCGTGAAAAGGATGTGTGTAAGGGCTCAGGGTCGCTAGCGGGTTGGAGAAGCGATGCGCGTGCGCGGGGGGCGATCCGTCGTAGCCAGTACGGAAGCCGAGCTGGACTGCTGACTCAGCGGAACATGCGCCACGAAGTCAGCCATGAACACCCCATTTTGGGCGCTAGTCACAGATCTGGAATCCTACCGGAGATTGATGGAATCGTTACTTGATTGGCTAACTGATTCACAATTGAGAATTGCCTCGAATTGATTGGCTTTGGTTGATTGATGGAATTGACAGACAGTATCTGATGAGGGACGAGGGACGAGGCGTGGTGGTGATGGCATCGCCCGGAGAGGACACGCGTAAATCGCACGGCGGTTGTAGTAAGTTGCATTCCAAAATATTTCCGTTTTAGGAAAAACAATATAAGCGCCAAGTCACTCCCCGCGCGAAACAGGGACAGGGAGAGGGACTGTGCTGCACAATCATTATTTTCCCTACCGAACGCGAACGCGAACGCGAACGCGAACGCGAACCTCGGCCCCCGCCCACGCCCCCGCCCCCGCACCCGCCCACGCCCCTATTTCGCCAGCTGCGTGCCCGCCGAGACAACCGTCTACATTCAGACAACGGCTCTCTCCTTCTCTCCCTCTGTCTCCCCCCTCCCTCCTTACACTCTCTCCCTCTCTCTTCCACCAGTTTTTGGCGTCCGTTTTGTTTCCCTGAACGACGTCTTCCCGCCCACAAGCGGCCAAGCGATGCGCTGACTGTAAGTGGTGACGTAGCGTGGACCCTGAATCACGTGTAGCCAGTGGACTCTAGCGTGGCGCTAACCGTGGCTCGAACCACTGCCTCGACCAGCACTGTCTCACGCCGAGATTCGGTACCAGCGGCAAAAGGAGGTAATGTAATGACCGGTTTCCCACAACAGGATGGGAATACCACTACCGCAGTGCAGGGGTGCGATCCTGTCCTGCCTCGGTAGAAAGCGATGCGCTGACTGTAAGTGGTGACGTAGCGTGGACCCTGAATCACGTGTTGGAGCCAGTGGACTCTAGCGTGGCGCTAACCGTGGCTCGAACCACTGCCTCGACCAGCGCTGTCTCAAACGCCGAGATGCGTGTACCAGCGGCAAAAGGAGGTAATGTAATGTCCGGCTTACCCCAACAGGATGGGAATACCACTACCGCAGTGCAGGGGTACGATCCTGTCCTGCCTCGGTAGAACGCTAAACAAACAATCGGCAGCCAGGATGGCTGCGTATAGATGGATGTCTTTTGTCTTTTAGCGGCCGGTTTCCATATGGGGAATGTCGTCGACAGTGTAAGTGGGTATAGAGGGCGTCTTTGCGCTTTCCAGTATGGGGAATGTCGGAATGTCGTCGACCATGCAAGGTTGCGGTCGCCAACCGGTCACTTACCGGTCCTTTCGTGAGGGAACGGAGCGGCAGTCGGGGGAGATGGTGGTGCGGTCTTCCGGTGGAGTGCGGCAAGCTGGAGGTCGTAGCCGGCTTTCCAGTATAGGAAAGATTTTCGTTATCTGACCGTTCGTTCTCCACCAACATCGACGGTACGCATGGTGTTTTTTCCTTTGGTGTTTTTTCTTTTGGCCTCTCGGTGCCATACTACCGGTAGCCGTGAGACTGAATGTTGCAAACACGTCGTGAGTTCAAAGTCCTCCTTGATGCGTCTTGTTGGGGCTAGAGGTGGAAGTGGCACCACCGCAGTAGTAGTGACGGTGCTAAATCACGGCGAAGCGGCCATCAGATACCAAAATGCGTAGCCCGAATAAGAGAGCTTTGCGACAGTGGGCCTCGCCGCAGTGTACACGAAACGAAAAAAAAGGAAATTTAAACTTGGCGAGGGGAGACCAGTATCCGATGAAGCGCTGCGCTACCAGGCGTACTCGCTGTCCGGAGACGGCAGCGCTCTGCGTCGGCAGAGAGGTGTGGGATTCGGGGTGTGGGGCGGAACGATGTCTTCTTCATGGAGTTCTAGGTTCGGCCATCGCCCTCAACTCTAATAAGGGGCTGTGTCTCCCTGTGGAATATTAGGGAGGGCGATTCCGGTTCCTCCTACAATAGACAATCAACAAGATTCAAGTAACGAAACTCATGGCAGTGTGAACACGACGATGGGAGAGAGAGTCTAGTACGAGACAGCAGACACATCCAACAGTGGCACCTCTGGAGGTAGCGGGTGGGCAGCCAGTGGTGGTGGGACTGGTGTTGGGAGGAGCACGTGAGAACTATTGTTGACTATCTCGACTGAACAACCATTTCGTCAAAATGGACATTTTTTATTTTTTGAACGAAATTGAAACTGAGTTTTTTGGCCGAAAACTCGTCAAAATTTGTTATTTCTGAGGGTCCAGCGTTTTACCCCTGGCTGTACATGGACCTAGCTTGAGACCAGGCACCTCCAGGAAGGACTGCCTGGAGGTACCTGGTCTCAAGCGAGGTCCATGTACAACCAAAGGGTCCAGGACCCTCAGGAACAGCAAATTTTGACAAGTTTTCGGCCAAAAAACTCAGTTTCAATTTCGTTCAAAAAATGAAAGATGTCCATTTTGACGAAATGGCAGTTACTGGGAGCGTGAAAGACCCGAAGCTCGACGGGCAGCAGTGCCACCAATGGGAGTGCGAGTTCCTCTGATGGTAGTGGGAGCGTCTCCGTCGGGATCAAGGGCGTTGAGCATTAACCAAGACATTCTTTTACACGAAATATTTTAACCTAGCCATTTTCCGTGCTAAATACTCCTTATGAGTGGCTTACTTCATGATAAACATATATGATAATATTTGGAAATTTTCGAAAGGAGCGCGAAGGGGTACAACACTCCATTGAAGCGCTGCGCTACCGATGGTATCGCCGTTCGGAGACGGCGGCGCTCTGCGTCGGCAACAAGGCGTGGGATTCAGGGTGGGGGGGCGGAGCTATGGAGTACTCGGTACTCTCTAGGTTCGACCACCACCCTCAGCCTTGATAAAGGGATGCGTCTCTCTGTGGAATATCAGGGAGTAGAGTGGTTCTCGTCCCTCTTACGACCTTCAACCTCCAGAATTCAAGTGTTATCTACGGCGGTATTATGCCCATTTAAGGATTAAATACATTGCAAATTGCACAAAGAAAGGAGAGAGGCTCTAGTGTTTGACGAACGGTGAGTCAGACAGCAACACTTCCAGGAGCAGTGGGAGGGCAACTGGCAGCGGTAGGACTAATGTTATGAGGAGCATGTACGGAGTACTCGTGATTATCTCAACTGGGAGCGTGGAGATAGAACCTGTAGGGCGACGGACACTGGTTATTTGGTCGACTGGGTGAAACTGTGCCACTATACATGGAGACACTCATACTTTAGTTACATCGACTACTTTTATCTTGACCTTTATTTACCTAAAATTTGAAATTACATTTCATTTTCTTCTCCATGACTTTCGAGTTACTTTGTCCTTGGTCTTATTTTTCAAGTTGGGTGTTTTCAGTCGTTTTCTGGTTTGCCTTCATAAGTTTCAGTTGTCAGTGAAATTTTGTTTGACATAGTTTTAGTACTTGGCTTGCAAGCAATAACAACGTATTTTTCATGTTTTAGGGTTTCCTCCCTCCTCTTAGTGGCAATTATAACGTCGGGAATATCGGTGTCCTTGGTGTGTGAGGGTGGGAGTGTATTCTGTAGTTCGGGTTCTCTGCGGTTGGCCGAGTTGGTAAGCCGGATCCAAGCCTGTTCTTATTTGGATTTCAGCATGCGTCTCCTATGAGCTAGACGTTAGAAGTGGAATTACTAAGTTACTACATTTCTTACATTTCGTATCTGACGGGTTTTATAGGCCAGATCCCTGCTCCCCTCTATCTCTGGTTATAGTGTGCACTTTAGCACACGCCTCTTGCTTGTAGGAAAGGGAAGAGCCCAGGGCGACAAACTTAACTCGGAGCTTGAATTTGTTTTACTTAGTTGATTTCGGTCTGGTCGTAGACTTGATTGGTAACCCAGTGCCTGTCGTGGAAACTCTGGTGAATTTGATAGGTTGAGTTAGTTAGGGAGGGTTTACTTCATAGATTAGCAGTATTTCTTGACCCGAAAAAAAAAAAGAAAAAAAAAAGAAAAAAAAAGAGGAAATTACTGAACCTTCCAACAGAAAATGGAATGATTTGTCCGTTTGCTACAAATAGTACCGAATGTAATTTCCCACTCCTGTGGGCAGATTCACTCGTTTTCTTTTTCATTTCCGTGCGATTTTAGTTGGACCAACTAGGAATCAGGACATCATCCGGATCCAACGGCGAGCAATTGACGAAGTCTATGACCGAAATGTGGCAGTTTTTTACGGAAGTCTTTGGGGGAGTTTATCTGTTTCTACCGACTCTCGAGAACAGTCGATATACCCTTTCAGATTTGGCGCCCACTCAGGAATCGCCCCTTTTCCAAGGAAAGGAAAAGGCAGGCGAGGAGGAAAAACCTCAATGATTGGTCTCTCCAAGGGGCGATCCTCTTACATCAATGATAGGTAGGGTGTGTACCTTCGGCCTAACAACTTGCCAGCAGGTTTTTGTGTTTGTTCTTCTCTCCCCAATTTCTTCTACCCCCTCTCATTCGCCCATTCCCCCACTGCCCTGAAATGATGCCTCTTTGTTCACAACCAAAGTAACTGATGCTTGGCAGCCCAACATC